AATCCCAATTCTGGAAGTTACCTAGGATTCCCACCCAGTTGAAAGTTCATGATCTTGTCCCCACAGCCACAAATCCATCACAGCTGGCCTCTTTATTTATTTATGAAATTTATATGCCACCCATCTGGCTGTCCCAGACAACTCTCCTTGTGCAAAGCTTCTAAACTTCTCTTTAAAAAACAAGGGGATATTTAATAACAGTTTGAAGATAATGTTGCAGCACTTTTGAGGAAATGCAGAATATAACTCAGAATATAACGTGTAGGGCATTTTTCAGTATTGTGTCTATATATTCTTCCCCTCTCTTGAGTGTTCTATGAATGTATGTATGTATGTATGTATGTATGTGGGGGTACCCCTCGGGGTGTCTGTGTGTATCTGTGTCTCTGTGTTCCAGCATAACTCTGGAACTCCTGGGCCGCTGAAATGAAAAGAAATGAATTATATCTATAGTGTCAAATCACAGTACTTTTGACAGTGATAGTGTGCATTTTGGATTCAAGTTCTGTTAAGATACAGCCTGTTGTGCCTTAAAATGACTTCTACTGTACAGCACAGTGGAATTGCTAAGATCACGGCTTCACAGTACTCCACAAAGGGGGGGGGGGTTCCCTCTGGTAAGGGGGATTGGTTCTTCAACAAACAAACAAACAAACAAAAAACAAGGGGGCTCCCTCTGGTAAGGGGGATTTGTTCCGGGCAATGCCTGGTTATCAGCTAGTTAAAAATGAACAACTTTTTCCCTTTGTCTTGTAGGCTACTGGGTCAGCTTACTGGGAAGAAAGTAACCAAAACTTTGGAAGGCGATGCCGTTCCTTTCACCAGTAGCTCCGAAGGCTTGTCTTTTTCAAACTCTCCTAAGCCGACAGCAAACAAAATATTGAGTTCTGACCACCATCAGGATCAAGCTTCTACAACCAATACCTCAAGCGGTTCAGAGAAGCCCGCAGGCCTGTCCTACTTGGGCTCAGAATACTGTGTCCTGCTCTTCTGCTGTTGCATCTGTGGGTTTGAGTCCACCAGCAAAGAGAATTTGTTGGACCATATGAAAGAACACGAAGGGGAAATCATCAACATCATCCTCAATAAGGACCATGCAGCAACTCAAGTATAAACTAAATCAATGGTTCTCCACCTTGGCAACTTGGAAGATGTCTGGACTTCAACTCCCAGCATTCCCCAGTCAGCCATGCCGACGAGGGGTTTCTGGGAGTTGAAGTCCACGCGTCTTCCAAATTGCCCGTGTGGAAATATCATTGAACTAGACAAAAGTTCTCTTCAGATCTCCAGCTTTGCCTGCAAGACTTGCTAAATCGAAGAACTTAGGAATAAGCATGTATGTATGTGTACATATTTATTTGCTCAAAAGTGCTTTTCTTCAGCAAGTCTTTGTTTCCTGCCTCCATCCGAAGCCTCTCTTATCCGCAAAAGAGCAAGTTATTTTACAAGCTTTTGAAGAAACCCTGACACGAATAATGCTGCGTTTACAGTAAAAAAAAAAAATCCGGACGTTACCTTCTACCCACAGGACTATTTTTAATGCCTATTATTGACCCAAACGATAGTGGCATAGAGGAATTAACAAAAAAAAAAGGGATTTAACCTTTCTACCTAGAAATGCATCCAGAGGGCATAAAAATCTGCTTTAAGGTAAGTTTTAAAGAAAACCATCTTGATGTGACCATCAAGCAGCCATTTTTGAGGACGGAAACCTTGGTTAGTTCTTAGGCTTCCTATCGCAACCGATGTGTTTTCCAGGCAAAACTCTTTTTGCTACGTCAAGCGACATAAAATAAGTTCTGCCTCTTGGTAAAATAAATATATATATATTTATCAGCACAAATACAACATATATATATATATACAACATACATACATACATACATACATACATACATACATACATACATACATATATATATATATATATATATATNAAAAAAAATGCCAAGGGGATGCAAGGCTGCTGGAATCAATCCTTTCTTTGCTTTTGTTCAGATGCCGTGTCTGTGACTTCGCCACCACAAGTATGAATAGCTTGAAGTGTCATATGAGACGCCACCCACAAGAGCATCAGGCAGTGCAGTTAATGGAGCAGTTCAAGTAGGTAACAAATTGCTCATACCGAGACAATCTTGTTCTGTGGCTAAACAACAGGGTTACAATTCTCAAGGTTTCTTTTGGATCTGTTCTTATTGCTTGGTTTGTCTTACCTTTTTAGTCTTTGTGTTGCCGTCAGCAACCTAAACTGTCAGGGTTCCAAATAGCATCCAAAAGTAAATCAGAGTTCAAGGCAAAGTATTGCTCAAAGTTCCAATTTATTAAGAGAGCCACGTTGGCACAACTGGGAAAACCCGGATCTGAAAGCTTCCCAGTTTTCCCCACCCATTTGAAAGTTCAAGATCTTGCCCCCCACACCCACAAGTCCATCACGTAGTCCAATCTCCCACTGCCATGTGGCCGAAAATCAAAGAATACCTATAATTGTTTAGAGAGAGCTAGTGTGATGTAGCCTTAACAACAACAGTCTAGAAAATGGGTGTTTTAATCTGCTGGGTGATTTTTAGGCCAATCCTACTCTCAAAACTCTAGGAAGGAGGAGGTAAGGACAAACCGCTCCTGTGAACGGTCAGGGAACAAATCTAATTTGAAGGCACAAAAAGGGAAATAATCTTACAGCAATAGACTTTTCTCCAGTTTAACCAGATTCAGCCTTTGACAGTGGATATCTTCTCTTGCTTCTGAAAATTCATATTCTCAGTTCCTGAGAACATGGGATGTTCCCCTTACAATTTCTGCATCCTTAAAAGTCCATTTTACTAGCTAATCTGTCATGTTAGATAGGACTATAGATTTGCCCTGAGACAGCATTACAGTTAGGGGAGGGGCCCTGTAGAGCTTCTTTAAAATGTTACTTAAACTGTAATCCCAAATAAGACAGGTTTAAATGCAAAATAGAGGAGTGGTCCGATAATAATGCTTTGCGGTAGTATGTGTTTATGCTCGTAATAACTTTTGCATCCTGCTGATGTTATTTCAGGTGTTCTCTCTGCGGATATGTATGCAGCCACCCTCCTTCCCTTAAGTCTCACATGTGGAAACATGCAAGTGATGAAAACTATAACTATGAACAAGTGAATAAAGCTATTAACGATGCCATTTCACAAAGCGGCAGGTGTGTGCGATCGGCAGTCCCCGTTTAGGTTTGTGACACCAGACTCGAATCAAAACCACGATGGAATATCACCCTTTTAATCCCCCTGGGTTGCGAGAAAAAATGTAATAAAAAATGGATGGATGGATGGATGGATGGATGGATGGATGGATGGATGGATGATGAAAATGGATGATTTTGATAGCTGGTGTCAGCATTCCAAGTATCATGCAGAATTAAATCAGAGTCCAAGGCAAAACGATCCTTAAAGTTCCAATTTAATAAG